ACGGATTGTCAGTATATAAGCCAGAAAGAGAAAGCCCAAATAGGACAATATCGGCTAGTGGTGGGCTTGGGCCGTTACAAATAGTATCAGAGCCAGACGCCAGACGATGTGTCAACGAGAACACTAGCCCCCAAGAGGGTGAATTGTGAGATCTCACATGAGTTGGAGAGAGGAACAAAACATTTCTTATAAGGGTGTGAACCCTCTCTCTAGCAGACACGTTTTAAAACCTGGAGGGGGAGCCTGGAAAGGAAAGTCCAAAGAGGACAATATCTAGTTGTGGTGGGCTTGTGCTGTTACAATTCTTGTTCGTCCTCACCTTAACAACGGACTTGCTTCGCATTGAAATATCAACTAATCATTTAATGTCAATCAACCAAAGCTTTCTTATGCTATCTGCTATTTAATCATTATCTATGCAATGCTGACCTTATTTTCTTCAGGAATGAGAAGAATCAATTACTCCTCGGAATCAGGCGTGCAAGTCGACCGCAAACCGTGATGCCTTCATCTGTTTTGTCAAGTGATAGTATGCATTTAGGGCTTCTTGCTGCAGCAGCTCATGCAGCTGCTACCAACAGTCGATTTACCATATTTTTTAACCCAAGGTCTGAAGTTTCTTTGAATAGGAGTTCTTGATCTATTACATTTTTTTTAGTCTACATGTTCTTACACTAAAAGTTGGATTTCTTATCAGAGCTAGCCCTTCAGAGTTTGTCATACCACTGACTAAATACGTGAAGGCTGTCTACCATACTCGTGTTTCTGTTGGTATGCGCTTTAGGATGCTGTTTGAAACGGAAGAATCAAGTGTTCGTCGGTAGGTTCGGAATGTTAGATCTATATCCTTTATGTGTATCTTTCTAGCTGCATTTTAGTTTCGCTGCAGTTTGCTTTCAGCTTCTTTAGTTGAGTACCGACGTTTCTATAACTGGGATTCGATGCGTATTCATATTTTCGTAATATTTCTTTGGTGTATACAGCTACATGGGCACAATCACTGGCATTAGTGACTTGGATCCTGTAAGATGGCAAAACTCACATTGGCGCTCGGTCAAGGTTAGTAAGCACAGTTTCGATCTGATGTGGTCTCAACCAGTTTTCAAGTTTTCGTTCTATAAATCACGAACTTCGCTTTAATAAGCTGACCGATGCAGGTTGGCTGGGACGAATCAACAGCAGGAGAGCGGCAGCCAAGAGTGTCCTTGTGGGAAATTGAACCACTGACAACATTTCCAATGTATCCATCTCCATTTCCACTTCGGCTGAAGCGACCATGGCCAACGGGACTGCCTTCTTTCGGTAAGTTAGCACCATCACTCCTGCATCAACGATGTGTCAACATGACTGCATTTTACTTTCTGCTCTTCCTGGTATTTTGATATAGACAATGAAATCCATACTCATGTTAACTCCTCTATATGTTTCTCTCTTAGGCATCAAGGATAGCGACCTCGGAATGAATTCTCCGTTCATGTGGCTACGGGGAGATAATTGTCTAAACTTTCAGGGAAACGGGGTCTCACCGTGGATGCAACCAAGGCTTGATACATCCATGATGGCAATGCAACCTGACATGTACCAAGCCATGGCTACTGCAGCTCTTCAGGAGATGAGAGCAATCGATTATTCGAAAATAGCACCTGCATCTGTTCTGCAATTCCAGCAGTCCCAAGCCCTTCCTTGTCAGTCTTCTTCCTTAATGCAGCCTCAGATGATGCATCAGTCTCAACCCCAGCAGGCGTTTCTACAATCCATTCAAGAAAACCAACAGCATCATCTTCAGCCACAATTGCAGCCCCAGCAATTCAATAATCAACAACAGCAACCAAGGCAGCCACAGCCACCGCAACTCGATCATCAGCAGATTCCTTGTACGATACCGGCGGCTATATCTCAGTTTGCTTCATGTTCTCAATCCCAGTTGCCGTCCCTGCAAACCATCCCTTCCCTTTGCCAACAACCGAGTTTTTCCGACTCCAATTGTAACCCCGTAACTACTACTGTTTCCCCATTGCATAGCCTTGCGGGGTCGTCATCCGTTCAAGACGAATCGTCTCAGCTGCTTAACCTTCAAAGAGCAAATTCAATAATTCCTTCAGCTGGCTGGCCAGCAAAGAGAGCTGCTATTGACCCTCTCACTACTGGAGCTTCTCAATATTTTCTGCCTCAAGGGGAAATTTTGGGAACATCACAGAGTAGTATTCCTCAGAATACAGTGGCATTGCCACCCTTCCCTGGAAGGGAGTGTTCTAGTGATGACCGAGACGACGGTTCTGATCCACAAAACCATGTTTTATTTGGTGTGAATATAGAGTCTTCATCCCTTCTAATGCAGAATGGGGCGTCACACCTTAGGGGAGTCGGCAATGACAGTGTTTCTGCAACTCCACCTTTTTCTTCCAATTATATGAGCACTGCTGGTACCGATTTTTCTGTGAATCCAACCATGACATCCTCAAATTGCATCGACGAGTCGGGTTTCCTGCAGTCTCATGAAAATGTGGGCCAAGTAAACCATCCACCCAATGGAACCTTTGTCAAGGTGATACAACATTAGTTTACATACTTGTTTACATGGTACTATAATGTGGCCTTGTTAGTATATGCTGAATCCATCTGGCCACACATTTTATGTACAGGTTCACAAGTCAGGGACCTACAGTAGGTCGTTAGATATAACCAAATTCAACAGCTATCCTGAGCTACGCAGCGAGCTTGCTTGCATGTTTGGCCTAGAAGGCGAGTTGGAGGATCCTTTGAGATCAGGCTGGCAGCTTGTATTCGTTGACCGGGAGAACGACGTTCTTCTCCTTGGTGATGGCCCGTGGCCGTAAGTGTTGCTTGCCCCTTCTCCATAACTTCCATCATTAGTATTTGGTTTATTTGTTGTTGCTTTTAGTCAGTAATGTGGGGCATCTTTATGAACCATGAATTCTTTTATGCATATCAGGGAGTTTGTAAGCAGTGTGTGGTATATCAAAATACTTTCACCAGAAGAAGTTCATGAAATGGGCAAACGAGGTTTAGAATTTCTGAACTCTGTGCCAATTCAGAGGCTCTCAAACAGTACCTGTGACGACTACGGTAGCCGACAGGACTCGAGAAATTTAGTTTCAGGGATAACCTCTGTTGGGCCTCTCGACTACTGAATGACTTACCTGGTTACAATCTCTCTCCTTTAATTTTAGCAGTTTCTTTAAATTCTTCATATGAGGTTGTGGAAGAAGCTACAGAAATCTAGTTTGATGCATATGAGCTAGTACTGTAATTATACATTTTCCTTTTTCAGTTCTGTACTATCTTATATTGACTATACACTAGTATTAGGACATCCATATTTCATTCCAACAAGACTTGAGTTTCGTTTGTAATGACTCAAATTGTATAAGTAAGAGATTTCACATTTCATGTTGTTTTGAGAAACTCTTCACTAAAGGAATGCTATCAGTTGAACCATCACTTAGTGGTTTTTTGAGCTTCAAGATTTGTTGAAATCCAAATGAAAGTGTATGCATGGATGCATGAGTAAGATTGTGAGATCCCACGACGATTGGAGAGGGGAAAGAAGTGCACAAGTGCATAAATGAGATTGTGAGATCCCACGTCGGTTAGAGAGGGGAAATAAGCATTCTTTATAAGGATGTGGAAATCTCCCTAGCAAACGTGTTTTAAAACCTTGAAGGAAAGTCCTAAGAGGACAGTATTTGCTAGAGGTGAGTTTGAGCTGTTATAAATGGTATGAGCCAGACACCGGACGGTGTGCCAGTGAGGCTCTAAATGTGGAGGATTGTAAGATCCCACATCGATTGTAGAGGGGAATGAGTGTCAACGAGGATGCTGGGCTCCCTTGTGAGATCTCACATTAGTTGGAGAGGGGAACGAAATATTATTTATAAGGGTGTGGAAATCTCTTCCTAGCAGACGCATTTTAAAGCTTTGAGGAGAAACTCGAAAAGGAAAACTCAAAAGGACGATGAGGAAACGAGGCAACGAGGAGGAGAGGAATCAAACAAAAGTAACAGTACTTTATGCATAGTGGTAAAAGGGCATTGAAAGGAGATGTCTGCATCAAAATGAAAGTGAAAGTTGAAATCCAAATAAGATTTACCTCTTAGATTCCATCACCATGGTCCCTTTCCCTGAGAGCATTGTTTTAAATGCAGTTTTGTTGATAAGCTTTAAGATAGGTCCCAGGCCCACACTGTTTCTTAATCTCTTGGTCTGATGCTTTTGTAAATTCCTGATTCCCAGACAGCCTCTGCACTTTGTCTCAGCAGTGGTTTTAAGTTGAAAGCTACTACTGCAGTTGATAAACATGTTGGTTGAAAGAGATAGCATCCATATTGAGGACTTTCTAGTTATGTTTCATCTCACTTTAATGTTAGAAATTCTTTCTTAAACTAAAAAATGTCAGAGGAAGCTCGAAAGGGAAAGCTCACAGAGTACAATATCTACTAGTGATGGGCTTGAGTTGTTACAAATGTTACAGAGCCAGACATTGGGCAGTGTGCGAGCGAAAATGTTGGGCCCTGAAGGGAGGTGAATTATGACATCTCACATCAATTGGAGAGAGAAACGAGCGTCAGTGAAGCAAAAGAGTGACACATGCACATGGTGGGACTTCGGGATGGCCAAATTGTGTATAAAAGGTTGTGTAATTTGGATGCATGCTGAGCAAAAGTGACACTTTTTTTCCCATTAGAAGGAAAAAAACATGAATGGAATGGTGACAATGTAGGGCACCATCTCCAAAAAGAAAAGGCTTGTGGGGTTTGCTTCATAATTGTTCTCTCCCAACCTACCACACCCCTTTCACGTTCATCATTATTGGAAAGACTAGTCCTATATTGATTAATTACTATGAGAATAAACCACTGGTAAGAAATCTTTTGAATAAACCACGATAACTTATAATAAAAAGTGGACAATATCATACCATTCTGGAGGTCGTGGTTTCTAAAAACTCCAAACCAAAAGCAAAACCATGAGATTTTATATTCAAATTAGACAATATCGTACTATTAACCTATGTACAACGAACACCGACCACAAAAAAACCTACTATTTCACCGCAACGTTTGCTCTTTTCCCCTCTTCATGATGATCCAAATCAAGAAAATCAGCCACATTTGCATCCATTACATTCACCACTTGAAACACATCATATTTAATACAAAGAGAAAAACGATCGAGATAAGGCATCATGGAGTTCAAATGATCGGAGTTCAAGATCCATGAGTAACAATAAAAGGGGGAGTTCCAGACATAAAGTGACATAACAGTGGACCTATTCTGTGATTTCAAGCAAATCCCAGATATCACTCCTTCAATCTTCTGAAATCTGGACTTGAATATAGCCAAGCAAGCGTAGGACAGATCGTTCATGTCGCCGCCGGACTTTGCAGCCACTGAAATCATTGATATTACTCTGTTTTTTGAGAACCTTGCAACGCAGGATCCATCCATGGAGTCTCCCCCATAGGCTTCGAAGAAGCTGATATCAATTATGGTTGCCATGCCTGATACTTTTGTCAAGTTCTTGAGCTGAAGAACATGAATACTGATTAACAGCTGAAATAAGAACAAACCCATGAATGAAAACAGATGTGTATTGCAACTTACGATTGCTTCTGATAATAATTCTGTGTTTTCAATTGATCTTTTTGCCCAAATTCCACACCATATGATCTGAAATATGTAAAATCAAATGTTATTTTTAAAGATATAAATGTTATGTATACGTGTTTTTATATGTATACGTAACAAGATCTTTGATTATTCATCTCAATCGATTTCGTTGACTAGCTTCTATATATGTATATATTTATCCCGCGAGAGATTAAAAGTTCAAATTCTTATGCTCAACTCGAGAAATAGAAAGCAAAAACTGATCCAAATCTAAAAGAAAATCCCAGGTCAATTGGATTGTGCGATCTCCCGAGAGAGGAACAAAACATTCTTTTTAAGAGTAAAAATTTCTTTCTAGCAGATATGTTTTAAAATATTTAAGGAAAGTTCGGGAAGGGAAAATCTAAAAAGAACAATATCCAATTCAAGCGGTAAACAATAAAAGAAAGGGAAAGTAAAGACCATGTTTCCATGGATGCTCTTGAGGACAGAACTCTGAATGCAACCAAGATTTGTGGTGGAGAAAGAGAATTGTTTCAGAGCTTCAACGAAATGATCCACAACAAATACCAATGGCTTGAATACAACGAAGCATATACTCACTTCTCTGTCATTAAAACCCACACACCACTCCTCCATCTCTCTTCTCCTCTGCTGTTCCCTTGATGCTTTCTGAGCTTCCAAGTGACACCTTTTTAAGAGAATTCAATGGAACCAAAGCCACTTACAAAATGGGTTTTGACAAAGCTTAGCTCTCAGGTCAGTGAAGACATTGCTAGGTGCTTGGAATTTGTTTACCTATGTTCTGGAAATGGGTGTCGGAAGTTCAACATTTGGGCTTGAAATGGTGGTGGAAATTGCGTTATTCTACGCCTTGAAATTCCAGTCAAATGGGTTGCTTGTTCCTTTCACATTGCCTTCAATTATGATCCACTCTTTATTTTAATTCAATCTCGACGTGCACGTATTGGTCCGGTTGTTTGTTTTTAAAATCAAGTTTCAACGTTTTGAAACTGAGAACCCATTCATTACAATTAGAAAAATCTAGTTTTGCTTCTTTCAGTTACCACTATTTTAAGAATCTGCATATTTCAATTAAATTACAAATTTTTAAATCGGAGGTGTACCAGAAATTATAGTACGAGTCTGCTATAATATGGTGGACAGTTTTGTACGGTTGGATATATGAAAAAGAAAAAAAAAAAAGACTATAAAATAACATATAGACTCATAAAGTGTCTAACGCCCAAACCCACCATTTACAAGAGAGATTTCTACACCCTTATAGACAATGTTTCGTTCTCCTCTCCAACCAATTTAGTATCTCACAATCCAACTCCTTGAGGGCCGGTATCGTGTCTGGCCATGATACTATTTTTAACAGCCCAAGTTCATTGCTAGAAGATATTGTCTGCTTTAGCAGCCTCACAGTTTTTAAAATGTGTTTACTAGAGAGAGGTTTCCACACCATTGTAAGGAATGTTTTGTTCCCATTCTCCAATTGATGTGGGATCTCACAATCCACCCCCTTTGAGATCAACGTCATCTCTAGCACACTACCTAGTGTTTGACTTTGGTACCATTTGTAACAACTTCAAACCCACTGCTAGTAGATATTATCCACTTTTGCCCATTGCATATCATCGTCAGCCTCACAGTTTTAAAACGTATCTGGTAGAGAAAGATTTCCACACCCTTTTAATAAAATGTTTCATTCTCCTCTCCAGCCGATGTGAGATCTCATATCAAGCGACTACAAGCGACTACATAAGAGTCTCATTCAATCATTTTTTCAAATTTCCCTCGCTCCCAAGGAAAATTATAGGGATTTCAGAAAAAAGTTTTGAATTTCTCACAGCTAAGTGAATTGAGTAATACGGATCGTGTTTCCTGTCTCTTGCGTTCAAAACTCAGAATCTTTTCACAAGATCAAAGGAAGTCAATTTCTTAACACAAAGAACAATCAAGGCATGGAAGAAACTGCCTTTAAAGCTAGATACGTTGCCTCTAAAACTTGTACAGCTTTTCAATTTATTGAAAGTTTACAATTCTAAATCCACAACGAGCTGCTGGATTCCCACTTCAACGAACTTCAACAAAAAGAAACAAAAAAAAAAAAGCATATAGATCACCTTATGCTGGCTAGCTGATAACGCCCAAAATAATATGATCATTGAAGTAATGAAATAATAACCTTCTTGATCGCCTTGCCATTCTAATTCCATCACTCTCAATACCAAACTGTAAAATTTGCTTTACCTAAGACACAGCTATGGCTGTCAAACGTTTCCGGTATAGTTTCAAAAAGAATGAATTGTATCCTCCCAAAACACATGGGATGTATATCAATCAGGTACCGACTCATGGTCCGTACAGCCTGCATATAAGTATTCAAGTATTTGTAACATTGGAAACCAATGCTTCAACTATGGTAAGCTTTAAACCGTACATGCAAGTCAGAAATATTTTTTTAAGAAAATTTATTTTGGAATTAGAAATTCAACTTTCATCGAAGACAGCAAGATGCTTTCGAGTGCACGAGCACCAATTTAGAACAATAATGGAGTGTTTATTGTGTATAAATACTCATCTTATCAATTGACATGCAACACAACATGATTTATGTTTCAAACTGTGATGTTAGAATATTGTATTAAAAAAATAAGTAGGATAAAATATACTTTTGGTCCTAAAGTTTGATAATAGACTTCTATTTGGTCTCTAAGTTTCTAAACCCGACAATTTAGTCCCTAACATTTAAAAAATAATTCTTTAGTTGAAGAACAGAAAAATGATTTGGCACTGATTAGATTCTTTTGTTAAAAAAAACCTCTCTATTTTTTCCACTTCCCTTCTTCCTCTTTTCTACTTTTTTCTTGGTGAGCCCACCATTTTGCCGAGTGCATGAAGAAGAAGAAAAAGAAGAACTTGGATTTGGTTCGTTTTTTTAGAGTTTTCTAGGATCTAGATTTGAATAATATTATGATAGGGGGTGGGGTTGGGTACAGATTTTCCTTCGGAGTTGAAAGGTATTTGGATTTTAACTTTTGAAGATTTTATCCATTGCAATGCTCGTAATGAGCTCTGATTCCAGTGGGCGAAATAAGAGAGAAGATGAATTTCTTCATGGGTCTTCTTCATGAACTTGGCAGAACGGTGGTGGAAGAAGGTTAGTGAAAAAGAGAGAGAGGGAAAGAGAGAAAAGCCACAAGCTAAAATAAAAACCTAGCCAGCAAGTTCACATGGGCCAAATAATCTCTGTTAGTCAACTAATGGTCCAAGGACTATCAGTTGTTGAAACTTAGGACCAAATAGGAACCTATCCTCGAACTCATGGACAAAAAGATGTATTTTACCCAAATAAATAACAAGTCAGTTTTCTAGCACCTCCTTCATTACTTTTCAGATTCCTAGCAGTAGGACCGTCTTGCACCATTTCTGGTGGATGTTTTGTTTCATAGGGATGTCCTGAATGACCTCGAATAACCTTCTTGAGAATATCATTCAAATTCTTAGAGGGCATTTTATGTTTGAAAATGTTAAAATAGTTCAGTTTAATGGTATGAATGCGACTATTTTAAGAGTTGTGTCATGGAGGGATTACAGTGTTTTCTTCAAGAAAGAATGACGACGAAAATGAAATCTTGTAGAGAATGTTTTTTTCTTCCATACTCCTAGACAGAGTTCTCTCTTCTCTGGTTTAACCTCAGTGTTTATTCTCCCCCTTTCTTTATCAAGCGTAAATGAAAATATCTGTAACTTCTTGTGCTTTTGCGTGTTTAATACAAAGTTTATTTGTTATCTTCTTGTTCTTCTTGTTCTTCTCTTCTTTTTTTTTTCTTTCTTTGGTGAGGGGTGGGGAGGTTAAGAGAAGGTAAGAAGGATTTGTAACGAGACTCGGGAGTTTCAAAGGGAATAAATTACCTGTTTAGAGGCCTACAGGAATTCTTAACCCGTCTTGAGCAAGCTGCACTGGAATTCCTTCCCTGGATAAAATAAAAATGAAAAAATTGGCATCTTGAATTAGAATATACTTGGCTAAATGATGTTAAAGCATACCTCTATGATTTGAATATATGACTTCATATACATTCGACTACTAGGCCATGGTAGTAAATCCCCAACTATTTTTTCTGTTTTAACTTTCCCAGACAAAATCTGTATCTCACGTTCTCACAAATACCTAGACGCTCGTGAATTGCAATCAACTATGACAAAGATCAAGAGTTAGTTCTGTCACCTTTTGGACCAGTCAAGCAGGAAGTCGTTGTCCTTATGGTGATCAAATTCATGCGTCATTCCAATTAACATGGCTTGTTTCGGGTTTAGCCTCTTCACAGCATCCAGGGTCTGCAAAAGCTCACGTCAGTAGATCAAGCGTGCAGCAAGGAATACAAACAAATTTAAATGCACAATAACTAGCAACAAACCTGTGGGAAGCAAAAGTGAGTGTTATGGGATCCAGTCTGCAGTCAACAAAAATCCACAATATAAGGCATAAGATTTCTTTGCCAAAATACATAATCTCTTATATATTTTTAAATGAAAAATATTGAGTCATAAAAATAAAATTAAAAAAAAAATCATTATAAGCGTCTGAAAAAAAAAAAAAAAAATCTAGTTGCAGAAGCATTCGTATTTTTGGATGAGCAAAGATTGTTAAAAAATAATAACCCAATATATTAAATCTTCAAATGGAGTTTAAATATCTTGTTTAATTATATGAACTTGCTAAGAGAACCCCAACCTCCTGCTTGCTAGTTCATTTTCAGAATTCCTTGTTATTACTGCATAAATATTACGTTATCTGAATTCTAGACACTCCATGAAACTGCTGTAGTCCTAGAAATATGAATATGGTACATAATAACCTCGACATTCCTTTGTATCCCTTGTGACCTAGATGTTACACATGGTAGCTCTAGCCTTGACATTTCATCAATTCCTATCTTAAGTCGAGTAGGTGGGGCAACCAAGTCATAGAGGATACTGGAGAATGTCGAGACCATAAAATGTCAAATCCAGATTCTAAATCTTAAACTTAAGATAGTCCACTTCACATATACATGATGAAATCAAAAGCAAGGAGTTTATTTAAATGTTTACTGACCTTATACAACGTGTCCAAGATAAGAAGATCCAACTGTCCAGCTCCATTTATTGAAATAACTAGGAACTCAATATAAAAAATCAAATAAAAGCCTTGAAGTTTAACGATAGCAGCCATACAAGTTTTGACCTTCTTTAAAGTGAAAACATAAACAATTTCTACGTTAGAACAACATCATGTCATGAATAACAGGAATTACATAAACAGAGGCCCGAGGAGTTCAAAAAGGCTCTTTAAAATTGAAATAAAAAGAGAAAAGAAACCCCTCAATACGTTAGAACAACCTCCCATTTCTTGCAATCCGAACTTCCCCACAATTCAAAAGAACTTTCTTTTATCCTTAGAAGTTACATACTTTCTTCTCAGACAATTAATATACGAGAACAATTTCTACACTTCCCTTTGAGAACAATGAGATCCTTGATTCTCAGTAGTCATGCATTAGGCCCCCAATACAAACCTTTTGAAACTTTCAAGTCTTTGTGCCAATGTTTTGAATATTTTAGTCTTTGAGCCATGTTTAATAGAATTTTAATACATATTACGTCGTGTATTATTCTTGTCCATGCAAGTAACACGTAGTCTCTACTTCATTATTTATACATGTATAAACTCCAAAAAAGAAATCATCAAATTTACTTTTGGTCATAACTAGTTTTATGAAAAATTGGAGGAAGCATGAGCAAATTAACCGACTCTGAACTAGAGTAGAATGATAAAGCATCCACAGAGGTGCAACATAGAGCTAAACATTGAAAACAATTCTGAAAAATTTTGTCCAAGCATAAAAAATTCTGAAAAATCATGAAAATGATTGAAAAACTGATAAAGCTTTAGAGTAACTTGTGTATTTTATCTTGAAATCTCTAACATAATAGGAAATATTCTCATATTAAATGTTCTTAAATTC